ATGCTGCCTTTGATAGAAAAATACGAATATTCAGCCTGGGCTGGAAAAAACAGCATTCTTATGTAAAAAAAAAAGAGTATTAATTTGCACTGATTTCCCAATATGGTGACTCATTTTTTCATATTCAAACGAAATTTAGATAATAAAGAGCTAAGTGCAGTGGATTTCGAGGCTATTAATAGTAAACAATATATTGTCACCTTTGGTTTGGTCAAATTAAAGATGACTTGAGACGATGTTTTGTTAAACACCGACTTAAAACCGGCCCGCAGTCGGTATTTTCTAATTGGTATGGCAACCGGTTTGTTTGCAGTGGCGTTATAAATGATTTATTGTTATCGTCTTTGCAAAAGAGGGTTCTTGTGTTTACTTTATTGGAGTTATAAGCAGCTCTTGATTCTTACAGATAAGGGTCTCGGCCTCTATAACTCTTCCTCACCTTTTGTTTATGGCTTCCTCTGGGTAGTTCTTGGGGACCGATCGTTTATTACGTCCCAGGGGGGGCCGGGGGTTTCGGAGGGCCGGGGGTACAATTTTCTAAGAGGCTTGATTTTGGGGGATCAATTTTAAAAATGCACAGAATGTAAGTGGGGTGGAAATATTAAGACACAGACTTGCCCTACTACGTAAAATTTGTCAAACTATATTATGATTGAAGCAAATCCACGTGCAGTAGGCAATGTATATGAAGATAAATAGTTGAGAAGAGTGTTCCTTTTTAGAGAAAAGGTCGTTTAGCCTAAAAAAAAAACATATCCACGTAGTTGGTGTGATACTGTTCTATCGCATGACTAAAGGCACGCACCACAGGACAACCAATATGATATCACGCAACAAGCGGAGGATAATCATCTCTCCTTCAGATCGTCTGTTGACCTACTTACCAAAGCTACGCTTTTCTATGTGCAGCATGAGTTAGGCCATACTCCTAATTGATAAAATCCAGGGCAAGAAAAGTTGTTCTGTTGACTGTTTGCGTTTTGCTCTGCCTCAGCATTTTTATCCTACCTCAATAAACAAAACTGTTCTTTACAGCCGACGAGAAGTGTCAATTTTGGACTGTAATCTTTATATAAAATTTAGATCAAGTGCGTGAGGTAGCCACACTTAATACGCTGTTATGTCGAGATGCTCGTGGACAGCGAAAGCGAGTCAGTGACGTTAATCCGTTTGAGAGTCAAGCCCTCCTCACCACTAAAGTGGAACCTCCATTTGGGACCACAACTCATAGGCGACCACCTATCCAAAAGGGGCATTCCAAAATTACCTATAGTCAAAGCCCTATAGTTGCTCTACAACACATACTTATATCCTTCAGGGAGAAGATGTACAAGCACCTCTTCATCTCCTCGGAAGAGTCCCCTATGGTTCGAATCTCATAAGCGACCACCCTCCGTAAGCGACCACTAAATCTCCACCTTTTGGCTGGTCTCTTACGGGAGGTTCGAATGTACACACAATTCTTTTCAAATTTTGAGGTGTTTAAATGCCCACGTTCTCGTTACTCTTTCTGTTTCTCGATCGGTGACAAGGACACCTCCTTTGTTGAAAAATAGCCGGTTTGAGGACCGTCACATGGCACCGTTTTTGGTACGGCCAGTTGCGTTCTGTCATTTTTTCTAACGCAGTTTCACAACTTCCGCGAAGAAAGATGCGACAGACCATTGCTAGCGAACATTTATTAACAAGAAGAGATTTTCAGCTAAAAATCCGAGAGATTTACTTGACCGCTTTGAGTTTCCTGTTCATGACTGGTGACATCCGATGTAATAATTCATCACTGGAATTATAAGAAAAATAGATAAGGTAGGTCGCGATCCTTGTTTAAAGGTTTCAAACGTTGTTTATACGGAAATAAGTTACTACAACGGCTTATAATTTTCAGCTTCTGCAAACGTGAAGTCATCAGCTCAAAATCTGGCAAACGTTTAAATACATTTCAAAGGTGAATCATTGTCCCTTGAAACAGACTAGGCCTCACCGAATCAGTAAATGTGTTGTTCGTTTGTCCGACTTCCGTCTTCTCAGCATTTCGATATAATATGCCTTGCACGTTGATTCAGGAGGAGATTCGCAAGGTTAGATTTCTTGCAGACCTGGATTCTTGTCGGTTTGCTTCAGATCCTTTTTGTTTTTACACACACTGTTCAATTCTCTAGTTTTATCCAGTGCATACTAGTTTTCTCAACCTTTGATTCTATCTTCATTGTCAACTCATTCCATAGCATTCTAGTTTTTTCTAAAGTGTGATATCCTTCCTCAAAAGGATGTCCAGTGTCTCCAAACCTTAGCTGAGAGACCGGAAGATGCAACTTATTCGTAAGGAGACCGCTGTCCTCGCGCCAGACATGATCATTCTTATCACAATTGCACCACTTGGCTGTGTCGTCGCAGGACCTAGTCATTCTGCATGCACATCCACGAGTAGCGCCACCCCAATACGTCATATATGCGCCATCACGTGACACCCACCAACCATATCTATTATTGCTATTATGTATAAGCAACATGGAATGATAACACTCATATCTCTTGCTGACAATTTGCGGCAACTTCTGTGAGTCCTTTGATCTGAGAGAGGCTGGCACCGATGTAATGAATGTCTCGTCTGTAACCACCCTGGGCCTTTTACAAGGATTCTGCTCTCGCTGTCATGACTGACAACGGTTACCCCAACCCCTCCCTTGTCGGTCATGTTACAGTAAACGGTAAACGGATCTTCGCCTAGTTCACCATCAGGATCTATGACATAATCACCGCTGGCATCACAAATGCTCTGCTTGACTATGCTGCATGTTTCTGGAAATTTAACATGAAGACTTACATTCCACCGAAGGGAATCTCCTGATAGACAAGAGTAGTTACCCACGTGATCTTTCCTAAGGGAAGGAATAAGTAATATGCCTGGTGTCTCGAGGAATGCATCTTGAGGCACTGACACACTTCCATTGTACAGCCACAACTCTGTTCCACTTGAAGTAGGACACGACAATTTCAAAGCTTGACCAACGTACAGGGTAACTGAAAACTCTGGGCTGAGTACGTGGGCAAGACTATAAAACACTTTAAGCTCTACAGATGAAGAATTTTTTTGTTCAGCACTCGTAGCATTGCATACATAGAAACCACTGTCACCTATCGTCACATTCATTATAGACAGATTTCCGTCCGTGGTAAGAGTTCGTGAAGCAGATAGAGTTCCATGAGACCTCCTCCATGTAATGATAGGGCGCGGTGAGCCAAATGCATTGCACGTGAAAGTCACTTGTTGTTCTTTTTGGGTAGAAATTATTTTTGGAGAAGTGTAGACGAATAGAGTCACTGCACAAGAAAAAAAAGCAAAATGATAGTGAATATTTTTTTAATCGCCCGACGTCTCATAATAACCTGAAATAAGAGATGATAAAGGGGTACTTTAAAGAAAACGGAACGGCAAACTTCATCCATAACAAGATAAGACAAGACAAGAAGATTAAACTGGGGTACTAGAGCCTTATAGTATATGATAGCATTTTAGTTTCTTTTGCTAACCTTTTATTTTCAATTTATTTATTTATTTTACGTCTTTATCTTTTTACAATTAACGTCGCAGGTAATCCCTGATATGTTATGCGTCTTATCCCTTTTCCTCATGAGAAATAGCCGAAAATTAAAAAGGAAGATTCCCGGTCAGGCATTTCGGTGGCCAAATTTTACCTAATACTGTTACCTCTCTCTAAACCTCCAGAATTTGATGTCAAGGGTCAAATGGCGCACAGAACTTCTTTCTGAATTAAGTCCCTAAACTTGTAGAATGGCTTAAATGGACTAAGCGACGACATTACTCGAGTTGTATGTGAATCTTGTATGTGCAATTAACAGGATTTAAAGATAGAGCCGTTGAAACGAAACTATCTGAATCAGTTTCATGTTAAAATTCCTGGGGGGGACTCCGCATGTGAAAGGGGTGGGGATATTCGTCGTCTCGCTTAGGGGTGTAAATTTCGGATTTGGCCTCACTTAGGGTGTTCTGGGCAAAACGCCATCATATTTAGCCGTGAGGGTCTCGTTTAGGGTTGCACGCGAAAAAATATAAAAATATATATAGTGTCTGTGTTTTAACATGGTCTCTTTTAGGTATCAAAAAAAGCTTGGGCCACGCCCAGATCGGTCTCCTTTAGGGGGTTAATTCAAAATTTCCGACGAGCATCCCCACCTTTTTCATATGCGGAAGTATACTGTAGAAAATACCTTTGCTGCAGTTTTGGCCAGTGAATCCCACGGGACACACACAGCGGTAACCTTTATCAGTGAAGCCCGTTTGACAACGGCCATTCAAAGGACAGGGATTGCTTGAACAGTGGTTCTATAGCAAAAAATATAAATTATGCTCATCGTTTTAACAGCAAGCTATTGGGGCAATTCAGAAGCAGCAGACAATTAATTATCATATAAAAATAACTACCGCTCCAAAAAGCTTGGTTTCTTTAGCCCCGGACTGAGTAGCCTGTACCAGGCTCCGAGATGGTCGGGCCCACGGAATTGAGAAAGCGCGAACACGAAAAAAAAAACGGGAGGAAACTGGGGAGAGGGGGAGGCGGCGGAGCCTGTAGTCATCATTCTCCCTTCCTTTACCCTTTTTTTCCCCGTCCCGCCCCCATTTTCGCGCGCCCTACACTTTCGCGTCTTCCTCACTATCTGAGAGCCTGGAACAGGCTACGGACTGAGCCAAAGGCAGTGGGTTCTCTAACCAAGGTGACGTCACACGTCATTTCGCGGTGGTGGTGGTGTCGCGAAATCTCGGCTCTCTTCCCAGGCTATATTTTTACATGATTATTTTAGAAGCTACGACCATGCAATATTTGGTCATAAAATATTCCTTATTCTTACCAGGAATGGCTGATAAATGGTACCGACTCCATTCACGAGATCCTGAGGATGTACTATGTGATCAGAGTTACTCAGTTCACACCAATACTTTCCATCTTGTAGTGGTCCAATATTGAATGACACGCAGTCTGCTACTAGAAAACAGTTGACTTCACAAACATATGCATCTTCCGATTTGATTTCAATTCTTTTAAACACATGACCCAAAAGAAAGGTTCTTATATAAATATTGTTTGATTGTGGTCATTGAGAAAATGTTTATAATATTGTGTTTTACAGCACAATCATGTGTATAAAGTTGTTTTGACTCAAGAAATTAAAATTCATGAGAGAATAGATCTCTATTACGGTCATATTAAAATACAAGCAACATTAGGCATGCAAATTTAAGGGTGCTGATCACTAAAATTTTCTTAGCAAAGACATAATTTTTTGCAAGAAATTAAGAACCTATTAAGAACCTAGAAAGCCTAAATTTATGTTAACTACCATTTATGTAAGACCCTGTTTAGGCTAACCCTGGAAAATGTAGGTTCTTACTCGTGGGTTTTTACTGTACTGTATTCAGATCATGGATTGGGACCTTAACCTAGTAGAGGAGACTGGTAATGAAAGGCGGCAAACATCAAAGATATTAAACAACGGTACACAATCCTTTTTCTTTTCTTTTTCACAAATTGTGAAGGAATAAATTAATGCGACGTCATTCTATCGAGAAAGGATATCACTCACACTCTAGGAAAACTAGAATGTTATGGAATGAGTTGACGAGGCGCACGTTACATAGTTGTTAAGCAACAATGTGTTGTTTATGTAACAAAAGAAAATTTCCAGCGCTTTTTTATATGAGCACCAATTTATTTCGTTAGTGTTAGGCCTGATTTTAGAAAAGGGTTAGAAACCGGTAAAACATCTTTCCTCTTTATAACGAATTCAATAAGTTAGTAAAACAAACAGCAACCATCTCTTTGTAAACATAAGAATCAATCGTTTTAATAACGAAAATTAACAGGACAGATTAATTTACTTTGCTCTTAAAAAGATCAATTTTCAGATTCTTTCTGGAACTGGGTAGACTGCTTGCAGTCCGCCTTTCCTCTTTAAATCCGTCTAGTTCTTATCTCATCCAGCGCGATTGCAAACCACGACGTTGTTATTACAATAAGGGATTGAGACGAGACGTTATTTTTTCTTCCCGGGCTTACGCCCTCGTTTCTCGCGGCTCGCGTGCTAGGTTTCGCGCGCATTAACTTTGAAAAGAAAAATAAGAGACTGCTCGTAGTCTAGGATCCGGGGTATATGTTTGATGTTAACTATGCCGCAATGGCCTTAAACGTTATTGTTTAAGCAGTCTCATTATTTTATTTTTACTCCTTTCCACGCATACAGGATTTTAACTAACTTACCTTCCTCTCCTCTACAAACGGCCGTAAAGAAAAGAAACAGAAATGGCAACTTTGATGCAACAAATTCCATATCTACACTTCAACGTGAGAGTATACAAACTCTCCATAGACTAAGATAATTTCGCGTTACAACTTTTTGCGACGTTTAATTTAAGTGTTCTGAATAATTTATCATTATTATCCTTATAAAAGGAAATTCTTGGAGATCTGAAGTCACACAAACTAGCACTTCTAATTTTTTTCTTCATCTCCTTTGGCTCTGCATCTGGCGCACTTGTCAGAGTATAACAACAGTTATAACAACTGTCAGTTTCTATTTCGTTGCTGACTATCCAACAACGTTTTTTACGAAACTTCTATATTTTCCTCTCAAATAACTCTTGTCTCGTTTACTAAGAAACCAATTTTAGACTACTCAGTTATCACCGAGAGCGCAGCATACATCTTCTCCTACTGTTTTAAGAAAGAAAGGTCTCCAACCGTACATGTATTTACTCGAATATTGCCGCCTTCTAATAATAATTAGAACGGGTACTCCACTTAGAAACTAAAGTATTAATTTCAAAAACTCATCTGGAAAGGGGCATAGACCTTTAAAATTATCGTTTTAAATAAAACAAAGGAAAAGAAAAATTACATGGCAAAGTAATGTGTTATCAACAATGGTTTCTTTAATAATTATATGAAATTTGCAAATAGGAAGTTTTAATGTTCCATTTCATTAAATTTAGTGAGCGCCGCGGCGATCTTTAGAGTACATTTGAAATGTTTACTTTTTATATATATATAGGGCTGTTTTAAAATTCAGGGCGGAAAAACGTTCTGCGCAAGCTTCTGCGCATCCTTTATCGCAGGCTCAAGGCGGGCTTTTCTGTGTGTTGACCATGTTGACTGTGTTTGTTTGTTGCTGGAGTTCTGAGTGAAATGCACGAGGTGCGAACGTTTGCTCCCTGTAAAGCATTTTTGTTTGACATGTTTGCTTTTTATTCGTCGCATGAAAATTACTTTGGATTCAGAACAACCAATGTTAAAGGAAAAACGGATCATTCCGTCAGTCTGAGGTGGAATAAAAGGTTTTGAACTAATCTTAAGAGGCGAGTATTTTTCTGATTGTGCATCTGATTAATTTATGAGTTGATTTCGCCGGGTTCAATTAAAACCCGTTTGAATTCTGTTATTAGTAGTCACGGTTACTTTTTTTACATGCCCAGATTTATTACCTTTGCAGAACCAGCTTTATCTTTGTCTTCAGTCAAAGAATCAGATTGCTGTTATAACGCATCAGACTAAACAAACTTGTGCGCTTATTAAACTTTCTCGGAAATAGAAGGCCAGGAAGCTTACTCAAGATCATTTTTCTGTTGCTTAAGTAATAATAGTCAGAATTTTTTTCATTTTTCATTACATAGTTTTGTCTTCCAGTGCACTGTGAAAGTCACAGTCTGTTCTTTATAAGTATAACTTTCTGTACGCAATTTGTCCTTTTCACTCGCTGTGAAGTAGAGAACGACAACTGCGGGCAGTGACTTCAAAACAATTGACTCTTTTCCCGTAAACAATTGCTGCAGCTTGATTTGACTGAGGCGAGCAAAACAAACCCGTATGTGCAATTTTCTTTATTTTCTAATGATCGGCTGAGTTTAATTTGCTTAAACGAAGACCCTCGCATGGACCAGTCAAGCTTATTGAAAATAGCTACATGGTGAATCATGGCTTGGCTGCCAAGTTGCAACTGATCTTTTGCTTTCAAGATCTTAAGGTAGGTTCTTTTCGTACAGAAAATTCATTTCTTCATTGTCAGCAAAAAGTTTTTGAAATAGTGTAACTTTAACTTTGTTTGAAGGAAATCCTATTTACGCGTAGGTTTTTGATAGATGTTATGCGTGTTCAACTTGACAACACAAAGCAAAATTTATATATCTGCGCGAAACGAGCAAGTTTAAAAAACTATAGTTGCTTTTAAACCGATTTTTGGGAAGATTTTACTAAATAAAGGTTGACCTTTTTTCTGCCCACATATCAACGCAATAACTTGTACATTGAGGATTTTGTTTATATTTTAGTGATCTGTGAAACTACGAGTGTCCGATCGAGCGAGGGTTTTAAAATATCAGCTCGAGTGCGACAAAGTTCAGTGACTTCAAACACACTGTGGGCAAGCGTTATTTTTTTTGGGCAAATCACTGTCCAAAGATATGTTGTTTTTGTGTCCACAGTGGAGCTCCGGACCTTATATATCCAGGAACTTCCTTATATGAACACATTTTGTGAATGCATCTTGAAAAAAATCGGACCTACGCACGCACATTTCCAGTACAACGCAAAGAAATTAATGTCGTTAAAGTCCGTTTAACCATGAGGTATTCTTCGAGAAAATTAAGTAACGACAAGGTTATAACCACAGCTTGCAACTTTTGAAGACAAATTGCCTGGTCTTTCCAGGTTATGAGTGGAAACATTTGATTTTTAGGCAACAAAATATTTGAAATCCCGCCATTTTTTCAAACCCGACCAGGGGATCTGGGCAAAAAAGTTCACGCATGCTCAGTACGTTTTTCCGCCCTGAAAGTTTTAAAATAATTGGACAAACTGCTGCTCCTAAGCCTTGCCCCCAGTTGTAGGTCCATTGACCTGTAAATAAAAAATACATGTGATTACAACCCCCTCTGACTAAAGGCCCCCCTCCACATTTGATAAAATGAATTCGCTTAATAATGACGTTTTGAAGTTTAATTGAAAACCACTTAACACGAGTTAACACAAAACATATCTTGATCAGCACTGCTATAGCATTGGCTCAGTCTCCAGCCTTGGGTGTCAGAGACTTGAGCCTATGCTATAGCTTGTGTCAAAGAACTTTTTCTATTCATGTTATACAGCTGTAGGTCCCCCCGAATATGCCCCTCCATTTATAAGTCCTCTTAAAACTACAACGGCTTATAATTTTCAGCTTCTGCAAACGTGAAGTCGTCAGCTCAAGCTAGCTCAAGATCTGGCAAACGTTTAAATACATTTCAAAGATGATTCATTGTCCCCTGAATCAGTCTAGGCCTGACCGAATCGGGAAATGTCTTTTTCGTTTGTCGGACTTCCGTCTTCTAAACATTTCGATATAATCTGCCTTACACGTTGATTCCGGAGTAGATTCGTAAGGTAAGATTTCTTGCAGACCTGGATTCTTGTCGGTTTGCTTCAGATCCTTTTTCTGCTTTTTGTTTTTACACACACTATTCAATTCTCAAGTTTTATCCAGTGCATACTAGTTTTCTCAACCATTGACACTATATTCATCGTCAACCCATTCCATAGCATTCTAGTTTTCCTAAAGTGTGATATCCTTTTTCAGTAGACTGACCAGTGTCTCCAAACCTTAGCTGAGAGACCGGAAGATGCAACTTATTTGTCAGAAGACCGCTGTCCTCGCGCCAGACATGATCATTCTTATCACAATTGCACAGCTTAGAACTCTTGTCGCAGGAATTAGTCATTCCGCATGCACATCCTACAGTAGCTCCACCCCAATACGTCATATTTGCGCCATCACGTGACACCCACCAACCATATCTATTATTTCTATTATGGACAAGCAACATGGAACCATAACACTCATATCTGATGAATTGCTGACAATTTGCGGCAACTTCTGTGAGTCCTTTGATCTGAGAGAGACTGGCACCGATGTAATGAATGTCCCGTCTGTAACCACCATGGGCCTCGATTCCTTTTACAAGGATTCTGCTCTCGCTGTCATGACTGACAACGGTTACCCCAACCCCTCCCTTGTCGGTCATGTTACAGTAAACGGTGAATGGGGCTTCGCCTTGTTCACCATCAGGATCTATGACATAATCACCACTGACATCACAAATGCTCTGCTTTACTATGCTGCATGTTTCTGGAAATTTAATATGAAGACTTACATTCCACCGAAGCGAATCTCCTAATAGACAAGAGTAGTTACCCACGTGATCTTTCCTAAGTGAAGGAATAAGTAATATGCCTGGTGTCTCGAGGTATACATCTTGAGGCACTGACACACTTCCATTGTACAGCCACAACTCTGTTCTACTTGAAGTGGGACACGACAATTTCAAAGCTTGACCAACGTACAGGGTAACTGATAACTCTGGGCTGACTACGTGGGCAAGACTATAAAACACTTTAAGCTCTACAGATGAAGAATTTTTTTGTTCAGCACTCGTAGCATTGCATACATAGAAGCCACTGTCACCTATCGTCACATTCATTATAGACAGATTTCCGTCCGTGGTAAGAGTTCTTGAAGCAGACAGAGTTCCATGAGACCTCCTCCATGTAATGATAGGGCGCGGTGAGCCAAATGCATTGCACGTGAAAGTCACTTGTTGTTCTTTTTGCGTAGAAATTATTTTTGGAGAAGTGTTGACGAATAGAGTCACTGCACATAAAAAAAAGCAAAATAATAGTGAACATTTTTTGAATTGCCCAAAGTCTCATAATAGCCTGAAATAAGAGAAGATGAAGAGATAGTTTACAGAAAACGGAACGAAAAAACTTCTTCGACAACAAGATAAGACAAGAAAGAAGATTTAAACTTTTTTTTTCTTTTTTTTTGTTTTTTTGCTAACCTTTTATTTTCAAGTTATTTAATTATTTATTTTACTTCCTTATCGTTTTACAATTAACGACGCGGGTAGCCCCTGATATGTTAAGCTATACCTATGAAACGTCTTATCCCTTTTCCTCATGAGCAATAGCCGAAAATTAAAAAGGAAGATTCCCGGCCAGGCATTTAGGTGGCCAAATTTTACCTACTATTGTTACCTCTCTTAATCTCCAGAATTTGATGTCAAGGGTCAAATGGCGCACAGAACTTCTTTCTGAATTAAGTCCCAAAGCTTGTAGAAAGGCCTAAAAGGACTAGGCGAAGACATTACTCGGGTTGTATGTGAATCTTTTATGTGCAATTTAAATAATTTAAATATGAAGCCGTCGTAACGAAACTATCTATATCAGCTCCATATTAAAAGTATACTGTAGAAAATACCTTTGCTGCAGTTTTGGCCAGTGAATCCCACGGCACACACACAGCGGTAACCTTTATCAGTGAAGCCCGTTTGACAACGGCCATTCAAAGGACAGGGATTGCTTGCACAGTGGTTCTATCGAAAAAAATATAAATTATTGTTCATCGTTTTAACAGCAACCTTGCAGCAACCTATTGGGGCAATTCAGAAGCTTCAGACAATTAATAATCACAAAAAAAATAACTGCCGCTCCAAAAAACTTGGTTGCTTTAGTTCCGGACTGAGTGGCCTGTTCCAGGCTCCGAGATGGTCGGGCCCGCGGAATTGAGAAAGCGCGAACACGAAAAAAAAAAAACGGGAGGAAACTGGGGAGAGGGGGAGGCGGCGGAGCCTGTAATCATCTCCTGCCCCGCCCTCATTTTCGCGCGCCCTACACTTTCGCGTCTTCCCCACTATCTAGGAGCCTGGAACAGACAACGGACTGAGCCAAGGGCAGTGGGTTCTCCAACCAAGGTGACGTCAGACGTCATTTCGAGGTTAAACCAGTGGTGGTGGTGTCGCGACATGTCGGCTGTCTTCCCAGGCTATATTTTTAACATGATTATTTTAGAAGCTACGACCGTGCAATATTTGGTCATAAAATATTCCTTATTCTTACCAGGAATGGCTGAAAAATGGTACCGACTCCATTCACGAGATCCTGAGGATGTGCTATGTGATCAGAGTTACTCAGTTCACACCAATACTTTCCATCTTGTAGTGGTCCAATATTGAATGACACGCAGTCTGGTGCTAGAAAACAGTTGACTTCACAAACATCGGGCGATTTGATTTCAATTCTTTTAAACACATGACCCAAAAAAATGCGGCCTTCAATGAAATCGATGAACTGCACTACACGGGGACAGTCAATTCCTGTTGATTGCACACGACACTTCCATACTTAGCATCATATACAGTAAAAACCCAAGAGTAAGAATCTAAGATTTAAGAACCTGTTAGGCTAAAATTTACAATCATGTATATAAAGTTGTCTTGACTCAAGAAATTAAAATTCACGTGAGAATAGATCTCTATTATGGTCATATTAAAATATAAGTAATCATTAGGTATGCAAACTTAAGGGTGCTGATCACTAAAATCTTCTTAGCAACGACATAATTTTTTGCAAGAAATTAAGAACCTATTAAGAACCTAGATAGCCTAAATTTATGTCAACCACCATTTATGTAAGAACCTGTTTAGGCTAACCCTGGAAAATGTAGGTTCTTACTCGTGGGTTTTTACTGTACTGTATTCAGATCATGGATTGGGACCTTAAGCTAGTAGAGGAGAGTGGTAATGAAAGGCGGCAAACATCAAAGATATTAAACAACGGTACACAATCCTTTTTCTCTTTTCTTGTTCACAAATTGTGAAGGAATAAATTAATGCGGCGTCATTCTATTGAGAAAGGATATCACTCACACTCTAGGAAAACTAGAATGTTATGGAATGAGTTGATGAGGCGCACGTTACATAGTTGTTAAGCAACAATGTGTTGTTTATGTAACAAAAGAAAATTTCCAGCGCTTTTTTATATAAGCCCCAATTTGTTTCGTTAGTGTTAGGCCTGAACTTAGAAAAGGCTTAGAAACCGGTAAAACATCTTTCTATCTTTCTTCTTTATAAAGAATTCAGTAAGTTAGTAACAGAAACAGCAATCGTTTCTTTGTAAACATAAGAAGCAATCGTTTTAATAACGAAAATTAACAGGACTGATTAATTTATTTTACTCTTAAAAAGATTAATTTTCAGATTCTTTCTGGATCCAGGTTATAAGACTGCTTGCAGTCCGCCTTTTCTCTTCAAATCCGTCTAGTTCTTATCTCATCCAGCGCGATTGCAAACCTCGACGTTATTATTACATTAAGGGATTGCGACGAGACGCTATTTTTTCTTCTCGGGCTTACGCCCTCGTTTCTCACCGCTCGCGTGCTAGGTTTCGCGTGCAGTAGTTTGCAAAGAAAAATAAGAGACTGCTCGCAGTCTAGGATCCGGGGAATACATTTGATGTTAACTATGCCGGAATGGCCTTAAACGTTATTGTTTAAGCAGTCACATTATTTTATTTTTACACCTTTCCACGCGTACAGGATTTTAACTGACTTACCTTCCTCTCCTCTACAAACGGCCGTAAAGAAAAGAAACAGAAATGGCAACTTCGATGCAAAAAAATCCATATCTACACTTGAACGTGAGAGTGTACAAGCTCTCCATAGACTAAGATAATTTCGCGTCACAACTTTTTGCGACGTTTAATTTAGGTGTTCTGAATAATTTATCATTATCCTTATAAAAGGAAATTCTTAGAGAACTGAAGTCACACAAACTAGCACTTCTAATTTTTTTCTTCATCTCCTTTGGCCCTTTGCATCTGGCGCATTTGTCAGAGTATAAAAACTGTCAGTTTCTATTTCGTTGCTGACTATCCAACGTTTTTCACGACACTACTACATTTTCCTCTCAAATACCTCGTCTCATTTACTAAGAAACCAATTTCAGACCACAGTTATCAACTCACGCAGCATACATCTTCTCCTACTGTTTTAAGAAGGAAAGGTCTCCAACCGTACATGTATTTACTCGAATATTGCCGCCTTTTAATAATAATAACAACGGGTACTCCACTTAGGAACTAAAGTATTAATTTCAAAAACTCATCTGGAAAGGGGCATAGACCTTTAAAATTATCGTTTTAAATAAAACAAAGGAAAAGAAAAATTACGTTGCAAAGTAATGTGTTATCAATAATGGTTTCTTTAATAATTATCTGTTATTATAATTATCTATTATTTACGTCGGCTTTTAACGTTAATATTCGCTTGCATATATTTGCAAATAGGAAGTTTTAATGTTCCATGTTATTAAATTTAATGAGCGCCGCGGCCATCTTTAGAGTACATTTGAAATGTTAATTTTTTTTTTTTAATAGGGCTGTTTTAAAATAATAATGGACAAACTGCGGCTCATAAGCCTTGCCCCCAGTTGTAGGTCCATCGACCTGTAAATAAAAAATACATCTGATTACAGCCCTCACTGACTAAAGGCCCCCCTCCACATGTAGTGAAATGAATTCAATTACGACGTTTTGAAGTTTAATTGAAAACCAGTTAACATCGGTAAGCACAAAACATATCTTGATCAGCACTGCTATAACATTGGCTCAGCTTCCACACTTGGGTGTCAGAGACTGAGCCAATGCTATAGCTTGTGTCAAAGAACTTTTTCTGTTCCTGTTACACAGCTGTAGGTCCTCCGGTCCCCCAGAATATACCCCTCCATTTACAAGTCCTCTTAAAACCACTTACGAAATCATAGAAGTTCAGGGCCTATATACAGCAGTTTATTGTAGGCCATTTCATAGTTGTGTACAGAGTAAAATTGCTCATTAGTTGCAGGTCCAGCCACAGAATGACTGGACAATGCCAGCCATACATATACAAGCATTTGAACATTACCCATCAAAAATCAATGTGCACCACATCGCTGCTGGAAGAATGTAGTTCTTATTTTGGTGGCAGTCCTTTAATATTATATTTTTTTACTCCTCAATATGATGACCATTAATGAATGATACTCTTTCAATTAACACATTAGAATAACCCTACAATGATCTCATTCACAGTTCATCCTTACAATGTAGATGAGATATCATCAGATTTGATACTGATCAATGTCAGTTTTAAGATTTAAAGAATGATTCTAGTACCATCTGCTTCCTTCCATCATGTAGAGCTCCTTTTTTTCTTTTCTGTCCTTTGACTATCTTTTGTTGAATTGTCCCATTTCTGTACTTTTCGAAAGTAGCAAACACTTTCCTCATTGCAGTAGAAAGAGCAGCGCCTGCCAGTTCGCCCTGTGATATCCACTTTGTAGCTCTCTTCCCTTGAGTGGTCCCCTCTAAAATGTCAGCTTCACTGTACTTGCAGGAGAAGACAACATACTTGTGATGAATGTGTGAAAACTGATGTGAAACTTCAGCTATGCTAGTTTGACACTCAACACCTTGTAGGGTGATCCCCAATTCACTTTCTACAGAGTCAACCAGAGATGAAAACATCTTGGACGTAGCCAAGTTAGACTCCACTGTAAGGTTGGGAAATTCCCACAGGCCCGCTAAAAGACCTGTTTTGGGCCTCTGAACTGTGAGGTACTGGACACTAGCCTCCGAATCTCTCTCAACGATAACAACTGCCAGTGTTTCTTCCTTGGCTTGTTTCTTTTTCGCTTTCTGTGGATAATTACAGACACCAAGGGAAACATCCCACTGGGATGATTGAAGGCAGAGATCACATTCTTCAATGTCAACATTTTTGTCATTTGCAGCACCACTCACAGAATCAAAGCTTTTATCAGATTTCAAAGGTTTCCCACTTAACAACAGGCTCGCAGCAGTCCTGTGTTCCTCTACTTGCTTTAAAGCACTGCATTGCTTTCGCAGAGGGCATGTATTGCACTTTGGGGAAGATGGAGTACACAGAGTTGCACCAAATTCCATTAAGGCTTGATTAAAATCTCCAGGTCTGTTTTCGGGGACAATTTTGTTGGCAAGTTCCCAAAATTTTTCCACAGCTTGGTTGCTTGAAGTCTGAGCTCCGATGCCGCAGAGACGAGACAAAACTCTTATGACATTCCCATCCACCACTCCAGTGCACTCACCATAGGCAATGGATGCAATAGCACCAGCAGTGTATCTGCCAACACCCGGAAGCTGCTTCAAGAGTTCAGTGGCTGTAGTGGGCATGACTCCTTTCATTTCATCCACAACCTATTGCAAGTGCAAACAACATGATATTTTGTAATTTTAGTAGTTGTAAATTAAGTAGTAACAATGAAATTTGTTTGTTTATTTTGTGTTTTGTAGCTTTGTGGTAGTATCTTCTATACCCCTAATCCTGCACAACCCTGAATTTTTTCTAGGCTTTAAGAATTATAACTGTTGAAATTATAGTGTACACGTATCTATATACAGGGTGTTGCAAAAGTTTGTTCCAATTTTTTTTTTTCGCTTAAAATTCAATGGTTACTAAAACTACTTTTTTTGACAATTAGGTATGTCATTCCTTTTTCATTTTATATTGAATAAAAGAAATATTAGTAAGCAGGAGGGACCTTTATTATTTTTAACATTTCCTAAGCGGTGGGGTATAGAATGCGCGAGCTTCTCAAGCATGTATAGTCTTAGGTCACATTTTTCCAGGCAAAGTTGAGTCGCCTTCTGAGCTTGTCTAGTGTTTTGCGGGCTAGATCTTTGTACGCTGTCTCATCAGTGACACTCCAAATGTTCAGATCAGGTGAGTTTGCTGTTGCAGTGGTTCTTTTGGTATAACGTTTGGCAAATTCTTCTCACACCATCTCTGAGCCGCTTCTGAAGTGTGCGCCGCTTCTTTTGCTTGAAGGCTTTCCACCTTTTGTTGGTCATATTATCTGCATACCGTTGTGCTCAAAACTTTGATATTGTGAAGTTTAAGTTTTTTCAGCTATCCCTCATGTTTAATTATCACACTTATAAATAGCTTTTCGATTAAATTTCTTGAAAAATCGTCAAAACAAACGGCTTTCCATTCCTTGGTTTGTCTTCTTAAGACTTTCTTTTTGACCAGTTTGTTAACTCTTCGTTTGGTCTTGTTCAACAATTTCAAAATTTCTTAAACTAAATGGCTAGAGGACCATAAAAACCTGCCTGAGCTCTAGCACAAACAGTTTTGGGCTTCATTTCCATGAAAGAGCGGAGAAAATAAAAAAAAGGCAAAAATACAAAATAAGAAAACCTACAAATGGGCAGGAAAAATATGGCGGGAAAAAGCAAGCACGTGTACACATTTTGCACAAAATTTCAAAAACATCATTATTTCTTCAAATTTTAGTTTGAAATCGCTTTGAACTGTTTTCTTGATAAATTTCTTCACTGAATCAGTTTAAATTTGCCTATAGAAGCATCAAATGCTTTATAAGAAAAGCAATTTTCAATCGGAACAAACTTTTGAAACACCCTGTAGCTGTGACGAATTTTCTTCCATTTAAATCTTTTTCTGCAATGCAAATATATGAACTTCATATATTCTTTCATGACAGTAAAAACTGCTGTATTATAAACCAGTGATCTGCAAGGAAATATGTTAACAAGTGAGAGCATTTCCATTTGTATGGGGCTCTTTACATGGATACCAGATTGATTTTCATTCCATCTAACAATAATTTCATGCCATCTCCATATAATAATTATTATTATTATTCATTCAAAATATTTTCCCGATTCTGATTGGCTAAAAGCACACGTTTAATTCACCATAACCAGTTACTGATGACCAAATTTGGAAGAAATTTGACTTTAACAAGGAAATGACGTCAAAAATGCAGTATTTTCGCAGGTTCAGGCACCGTTAACCGAGAAGACCTGGGGACGAGGTTGAGTTGTTTTGGTCGTGGAAACAAAAATGGCGGTCGTTTCACTGGTTTCAAGAGTAAGAACAAGGCGAACAAATAGCTAAAAACATGGCAAGAACAGCAAGAGGACAACTCGAAGTACGACATCTGCTATTTGGAGAACATTTGCGGACCTGGACAAACCTAATTGAAGATGAACTTAACATCGATGGATTGATGGAGGTAAGCATGTTTTAGCCATGTTTTTAAACTAGAAATTATTTTGAATGAATAATAAAACAATTATCGAATTCGGCTTTCATATCATATGAAGAATTATGGAGATCTCAGAGGTCTCATAACACCCTCTCAGAGATCTCATAACACCCTCCTCGATCTCCATAATTCTTCATAAGATACTCAGCCTCATTCATTAATTGTTAATTATTTCTTTGTGTGTGTACCGTGATACTGGGACAAAATTAATTTTTGTTCCCATACAAGTTATTCCAGTTTTTTGGTCTGGCATGAATGGATCAAAAACATGTAGCAAAAAACGTCAATCGGGAACTGTGTGGGGGGCGGGTGGGGAATTAGAAAGACTAAGATTCACGTTTACGCCAAACAGCAAACAAGAATTTGTATCATGTGACCAACTTTTTCCCTTAACTGTTGTGTACTGTTTATTACTTGTACTCAAAAATAAGTAGTTTCACACCAGTTTTATCTTTAAGAATTGCTCTGGACAGCTTTTATCTGATTATTTTCTACATTGCATTCTGAGAAATTCTCAACTTAACTTAACTCTGACATTTGCCGTTTGCCGAAAACATGAATCTTAATCTCTCTAATGTCTCTTTCCGCGTGCCTGGGGGTGGGGAATAGACCTCCTAGAAAAAAAAAATTGCAAATCCCCAGGAATGTGCCCAGGGGGAGGCATGGTTACAAATAATATTGAACCATACATTACCAAGGCTGTCACTAAGATTTTAAGTTGCTAGGTACTAAATGCAATAACTAGGTGGGTAACTGAACAGGAAGGAAGTTCTTTAGGTTCAGTTTTCTCCTATGGGTCGTCCTTATAGCAGCCAGGGGAAATCCCTAGTCCTCAGCCCTTGGATTACAATCAATTTAACTGGGTATCAAATAATTCATTTGCATAAAACTCACTTATGTTGACATTCATTATTGTACTTATAAATAAACGAAAATTTTCTTTACGAGGTCGAGTAGCCGAAATGTATTCGCGTACTGTGTCTTTATTTTCCCCAGTAATGTTAGCAAGTCAGTTGGGGAGGAGTCCCTAGCGGGTCAGTTGACCGGCAGCCCGGACGTTTTTTCGAAGGGCTCCGATATAAAACAATGTCAATAATGAAATATAAATAGCACATTAGCAGCTGCGAAACTTTCGTCTTTCAAAATTAACTCCACAAACAACAGGTTTAAAACTAGACAAGCACCACTTCGTTGTACCGACCTTTTTAGCTCCCTCATGAAGTCTCCTTGCTCGAGAATAATAACCCAGACCCGACCACAACTCGTTCACTTCCTCTAAGTTTGCTCGGGACAACTGTTCGACAGTTGGCCACTTCTCCATCCAGCGATTGTAATAATCACACACAGTGGCCACTTGTGTTTGTTGTAACATCACTTCAGATACCCATACAGCATACGCTCGCTTGTTTGGATCCTGTTCGGACGCGCGTTCTCTCCATGGAAGCTGTCTGCGGTTCTTGTCGTACCAAGAAAGAAGCTCTGCCCGAATGAACTCGATTCCGTCGGCTGTGAAATCGTGAGAGTGTGTGTTACATTTCGCTTGTTCTTCATCTGTTTTCTGCTTTGATTTTGTCCTCCTTTTCGAGCTCATTTCAGCGATCAAAGTACGTGCTGAACACAGGGGATGAACCAAAATGAGAACCAAAATGGCTTCTTATCAAGCTAACAAAAGGCGCGGGAAAATACAACATCCGCTGGTCAGTGCAACGAGGACGACAAAAAGCAACAACTCTGCAAAATCCGGCGGCTTACCTAGAAAATATTATGCGATTTTTGATACAAGCGCCAAACCCAGGCCGGTCATTTCCTGATATAGTGCCAAGCTTAATTCTCTAATTCCAACTAATTAGCAGCGAATGAAATTTTTTTAGACCCAAGACCCCCCGCGAAGTTATTTTTCTTACTTTTTTAGATATTAAGTGCCCACAAGGAATTTTTTCTATTTTCTCATCCAAATCTACACATTAAGCAATGGCGCTACCCGAAGGAATTTTTTGATTCCGACGAAAACCGATTTTTTTTTCTTTGAAATTTGCCACCATATTGTTCCACCATTCGCATTAGTCTCCTATCGGTTGGACTTGAGCCGTGACGAAGGTTCAGGAACTCTTATTCCTCTCAAGCCAAGTAATTTGGTTGTATCTTTCTCGATCGTGGAAAATATACCGTGGAAAATGCCTGAGAGATGTGTTGCAGCACGTTGCAACAACGTAACTATACCCGAAGAAAGGAATTCCCGGTAAAGAAGAAAAGAAGAAAGAGGTCGTCTGCTACACAGCCGTGTTTAGTGTCGTCACGCAACGCTCCTGAGGAGGAGCGTTACGTGACGACACTAAAAACGGCTGTGTAGCAGACTAAGAAAGAGGTGGATCAATTTCGCGTTGGAGAGGTGAAAGACTTGGGTGCCGGGGAAGACGTTTTATTTCAAAATACAGGTACAACAATACAGATCATGTTTAAGTTTGGAAGCGAATTGTTATTGTTATTTTCCTCTCTTCACATATATAAATGCAGGCCATATTTTGGAAGTGCACATGCTTTTTCTCTCTTTTCTCTTGGTTGAGTTGGTTCCGCGGGTAAGAGTTTGTGCTATCTCATTCTAAATATGCATGCGACTCGGTTTGGTAAGAAAAAAACTGTTCTAGTCATACAAAAGGGAAAACTGTCGGTTTAAAAAAATGAAGTAAGAAATAGGTTAATTTGAAGACGCAGGAACAGGTCGCTGCCTCAAGCAATCGACTCGTTACAAGGTGTTCCATATTATCAAGTCGTTTGCCATGTGGCAAAGATCTCGTCGCGATAAGTTCAACAGAAACTCATGATGAAAAGAACAATTCCTGTAACTAATCCACAGCATCAAATGTACACGGTCAAGAATGCGTCTGTTTGCACAAGGAAAAAGCAGACATTAAAATGATAGCCCATCTAGCTGATGCAGTAGAAAATGTTCGCTAGTCAACCATGATTCAAAATTTCGCGCTTTTTTTCCGATCCATTTCCCCATTATCTTGTAGCCTGGAACAGGCTTATTTATACTTGAGGGAATTATTAGCGTCCTATGGGACAGGAAATATCCTATCCACACTCTTTCCAAAGGCCTTTAGTCCATTTAACTCGACGTTTCTCCTCCAGTTGTCTTCCATGCCCTACAGTGTGTGTTACAGCTTCCTTCTCCGCTGGTCATAGAATTGCCATTGAAAGGAAGCATTATTATTAAAATAATGAAGAAAAATAAGGGTCGCCGTGCTTGTTTTTTTCGGTACAGCTGCAGATAGTGCGCACCACCTGAATTTCTTGCAATTGGGGCAAGTTTCAAAGCGGCATGTACGTGGATGGTGGAAGAAAGCACTGATTGAAAAATTCGATTTTATGGAATTCACATGAAGGTAAAGCAATTAGGACATAATGTGATAAAGGCGAAGCTTAAATGTCATGAAAGTGGTTTAGATCAACATCCGCTATCGAAAAAGTAGCTGAAGTTTGACTCACAGCAACACGCGTACCGCTTACGTGGACGTTGACCTGTAAACTTCCCGTGTTCCCTATAATAGCCGCCTGAGTGTGAAGTACCAGAAAAACATCCTGAGCTGGAAGCGGAAACTAGTTTTGATGATGACGCAGCACATCCAGAAGATCGAGAAAAAAGAGCTGATCGAGCGAGAATGTTTGTGAAGAATAAAGATGTGAAGTATGTGAAGTGTAAAAGCGTTTTGTGGTTTATTTGTGGATTCTTATGGTATGCGGGCAACAATTGAGGCAGTTCAAGTTCCGTTTCTGTCATGACTGAGAGGAGTGCTGTCTTCTTCATGTTCATGAAAAACTATGAAACAAGTGTACATCTTTTACTGCCTTCTGTTACGTTTACAATTTTATGCTTTTCGCTACCGATTGTCGTGAAAGTGACGATGTTCAATTTTTAATAAAATTACTAAAGTAAAAACAGAATGATCTCCGGATTATAAGATAATATATTTTTCTTTTCCATTTCTATTCCATTTCCCAATTTTTCCAGCTTTAAGGATCACTTTGGTGGGTCGCTCTGATCATATCATTCTCGGTTAAGATTCCGTTGCAACAAGCTCTCCAAAGTCAATCAAGAGTGATCTGAATAATGCTAAAAAGAATCAGAGCTCTAGTAAACAGTGGAAGGTGATAGGGAATTGCATACCAGCTAGGGAGAAGTCGCGCCCAGCTTATTCTAGGGATATGAATTCAGTGAATTCTTTACGGAGGTGGGAGTACGTGCCGCAGAGGAAGCCAAAAGACTCGCATCAGTCAATGGTCTAATTACTTCACATCAGGAACTCCCTGCCAGTTTTATACCCGAAGATTTCGATTTCGGGCTGCTACCTCTTTCGAGATCAATAGGATTGTACAGTCATTTCCTTCAAATAAAGCATCAGGGAAAGATAAATTATACATGGCAGTGGTGAAAGATGCTCTACCGGCTATCCTTCCGATTTTGACTGAGATCATAAACAGTTCACTTTTGACATCTGTATTTCCCTTACCATGGAAAGAATCTGAAATAGTTC